TGTGATGTGTGTGATGTGTGTGTGATGTGTGTGTGTGTGTGTGTGTGATGTGTGTGATGTGTATGTGTGTGTGTGTGTGTGTGTGTGTGATGTGTATATGTGTGTGTGTGTGTGTGTGTGATGTGTATGTGTGTGTGTGTGTGTGTGTGTGAAATCTACCTGGCCATTTGGTTGGGCTCCCCCAATGCTGTGAGGGGAGGAAGGAGAAGTGTTAAATGCGACTCTGAGGACAGTGCTCTTGCCCCCTGCTCTCAGGCTCCCGGTTGTGCAGTGAGAATAGGGTTGGCTTTGAAAGGACAATTCCAGGCTCCCCCATGGGAGGCCCCCACCACTTACTCATGAGTTTCATGCACCCTTGAAGGCTCTAGAAAACAGCTCTGAGGCAATCAGAACTTTTCAGAGCGCGGAGGCTCCTGCCCTTGAGTGGGTCCCCGGGCCGTTATGTACCTTGCTGGCGAAGTTGGGCTCCGTCACGTACGGCTTCTCGCTTTCAGCAGCCCCCTCGACGGTGATGAAGAAGATGTTGATCCCCGACTCTCGAGCGACTCGTGACGCCTCTTCCACTTTGTCTGTGGGCCAGCCGTCCACCAGGACCACAGCCACGTTGGGAGCGCCGCCCCGGTTTCCATTTGCTTTGGAAAAGAAGCTCTTGGTCACAAAGGTGATGGCGCGGCCTGAAAAGAAAGTTTGTGCTTGGAGTGATTGTGGTCACTACAAAGTTAGGAACAGATCACAGCAGCACAAAGAAGTCCAGACAAACATACTCATTCCCTCTCCGGTTGTTTGTTTCTTCTTCTTCCCCTTTCTTCTTCTTCCCATTCTTCTTCTTCCTCTTCTTATTTATCTATCTGTCTGTCTGTCTATCATCCATCCATCCATCCATCCATCATCTCTCTCTATCATCTATCTATCTCTATCTACCTAATCTATTATCTATCTTTCATTCATTCATCTATCATCTATCTATCTATCTATCTATCTATCTATCTATCTATCTATCTATCTATCTATCTATCTATCTATCTACCTATCTCTATCATCCATCCATCAATCCATCCAGCTAGCTAGCTATCATCTATCTATTTGAGACAGGGTTTCTCTGTGTAGCCCTGACTGTCCTGGAACTCACTCTGTAGACCAGGCTGGCCTCGAACTCACAGAGATCCGCCTGCCTCTGCCTCCCAAGTCCTGGGATTAAAGACATGTGCCACCACTGTCCAGCTGTTTCTTCTTTTTATTTTTTTTTTTATTTTTTTTTATTTTTTTGGTTTTTCGAGACAGGGTTTCTCTGCGTAGCTTTGCGCCTTTCCTGGAGCTCACTTGGTAGCCCAGGCTGGCCTCGAACTCACAGAGATCC